AAATTTAGTGGAGTGTTTACAAAGCCTCCATTAATGCGGAGTGGTGTCCTGGGCCTTCACAGTCACTGCGCTTGTTCATGGCCTCACCCCAGGCGACTTCCCGGCCTGCACACTCCACTCTAGGCCAGTGCCCTCAGCAGGTGCACCACTTTTTATCGCTTCTTCTTACTCTTTGTGTTTAGATACACGAATACGTATCACTGTGTTACAGTTGCCAACAGCATTCAGTACAGTAACGCGAGGCACAGGTGTGCGGCCTGGCAGCAGCAGGCTGGACCACAGAGCCTCGGGGTGCACCACGCACAACGTCCAGGTGTGTGCAAGCTGGCTCTGTGATGTCCACGCAAGGACGATGCCACCTAACAGCGCATCTCTTAGCATAAATCCCTGTCATCAAGTGACATATGACAGTAGTGGTAAACAGGGAAGAAAGCTGGTGTTTGTTGAGGGTCTGCTAAGGGCCAGGCACTGCCCTAGACACCGGACGCATGTGAAGTGTTTGTCCTCTTTCACAAATGTGCAAACTGAGACTCAAAGACTGCGTACCTGTCTCCATGCATCTCGGGTGAGGTGCAGGATGGCCGGTGTGGCTTGTAGGCCTCTTCTTTATAATCACGGGATCACACAGCTGGTGACGGAGTTACATACTTCTCTCAGAGACATTAACACGGGGCGGGGGGGACTTCCAGGCTGGGTGACTGTTGCGTTGGGAACCCAGACTTCACACAGGAACTGTTTCCGTGGGTTGGTCTGTCTTCCCTGCTGTGTGGGCGAGAAAGAAAAGAAAACTCAGTTCCTGCCCCAGAGGAGGTAGCAGCTCTCAGAGGAGCAGGCTCTCGGACACAGGCCCCCGACTGCGAAAATGCCCTGGTGGCTGGCTGCGCGAGGCCACCCTGGTGAAAGCACCCTGTTCCTTGCCCACCCATGAAAATGGCTATGATTCTGAGCTGATGCTGATGACCCAGATACAACCAAGCAGAACATCACCGGGGCCAGGCTGCTGACACGGCATGGCCTTGGTGGTCATTGCTGAAGCCATGGCGCAGTTTCCAGTTTTAAAAAATGCTACATGCTTGCCTCTTTTTCCCTGTCCCCCCCAACCCCCAGGGCTTTTGGGAAGGTCTAACGAGGCTCCTAAGGGAGGGGACAGATGTGGTGTGGGCAGGAGAGCCGGACTTGGTGATTCCAGTGTTGAGAGGGCACACGAGGTGGGGGAGGCAGACAAGTGTGAGGTCTCTGGGGGGCGGGCACACCCAGAACCTCCCTGGCTCAGGACCCTTGACTGAAATGTGGAGAGGAGACCGGAGCGCTTGTCAACTTTCCTTCTGCTCTAAAATCTAACATTTCAAGACCTTGAACTGGGTGTGAACCGCTACAGCATTAACATGACCTGACACTCCCTGGTGCTTGACCTTGACTCGGAGAAGGAGGTGGGTGTCAGCACGGAAGGTGTTTTCTGTCCTGGTCCTCCCTGGTCCTGTCCTGGTTGGGGACAGGAACTGGTCTGAAAGCCTGACCTCTGGGAAGGTTGTCCTGCTCTTCCTCCCCCTCCTCTGTTTCCTACTGGCTTTCCTTTAGTCTATCTCCCAGGAGTGTTCGTCTGGGTAAGAAACAGAGTCGAAGAAGGTAGAGCAAGAAGACAACCCCCAGCCTGCAGTGAGGATGATGGGGGAGAAACTGGAATGAGTCATCGAGCAGGTTTTCCCGGAACCTCACACAGGAAAGCAGGGACTGCACCCAGCCTCAGTCCTGGGAGCTTTTGCCTAAGTGGGAGGCCCCCTTAGAATGAAAAGTAAACCCACTGGAAAGCAACACACATTCAATTTAGAAATATTACAATAGCCAGGAGGATCAAGGACAACAGAACAGGAGCCGTTACCCTACCACATGGCCAGCAGCTTGGTGAGCGCCTTCCAAAAGACACAGTTCCACATGCTCTTTGGAAAAACAAAAATGGGACTATGTTGCTTCCTGTGACCTTCTCTTTCCCATGTTTGGTTTGTCATACATGATTTGCTTAACCACTCTCCTCCTCTGGGACACTTAAATTGTTTCCAATTCTGACTTGTAAAAAAGGCAAGTTTATAAATCGCACAGCCAAGCCTTACCAGCCCTGCATTCGTTTCTTAAGATGAAATCACTGGTGTCTGTTTGTTAGGTCAAAATATAAACATCTGTGCTGCTTCTGACTCACAGTGACAAAGTGTCCACCAGGCATCTACACCTGCCCACATTTCTACTGACCATGCACAAGAACGTGTATTTTCACTTTTAAAATAAAAGGTGAAAAACGCATGTATATTAAAATGTACATTTTCTTGATTCTGAAGCGTGTTGCTCGGCTGTATTTCTGCTTTTGTCAACTGTCGCTTTTCTGACCTTGGCCCATTTTAATATCAAGGTCTCTAACTTTGGACATTTACAAAACAATTTTAACTTCACTTCTATATTTGTATTAACCTTAGTCATATATCTTGCAAATAACTTCCTCTTTAGTGCTCTGTCTTATCGTGTCTTTGGTGGCTGTCACACACAAAAGTGCTAAATGTCACATGCTAAGAGCTGGCGCTCCCTCCCTGTCCCATGGGCTCTCCCTGGAAGAAGTGGGCGAGACGAGAGAGGAGCAGAACGAATGTGTCCACAAGAAGAGCAGGAAGCCGCTCCACAAGAACTTAAGAAAAGCTCTCCTGAAAGTGGGAGGAGGAGGGGGGGCACCCTTCCTTAAAAGCTGAGGCAGGTTTCATGGGGCCCCCACCACAGGGCCCGGGCGGCCAGAGGGCTGCAGCTGTTCGGCTGGTCCCACAGCCGGGGAGCGAGATGCTGACGGTGCCTCAGAATCTGCACTTACGTCTGACAAAACAGTGTGACGAAAAAAAACCTTTCCACTATAAAAATAACATGTGCTCATTACCCAAATTTCCAACTTCACAGAAGCTGGTAAGTAAAAAGCGAAAATTTCCTTTCAGCCACCTGAAAATCTAAGCCCTGAAAGGAAAACACTGCTGAAATTTTGGCATAAATCTTTCCAGACTTTTTTCCAGGCATACACTAAATATACCATATTATATCCTATTGTATCATATTATTCTTACTCTTAGGTCTACTTTATTCTATTTTAACTGTTATATAATATTTCATAATATGAGTATACTATATTAGTTGTTTGCAACTTATTACAAAAAATACAAAAAATCCTCGAGTAGAATTTTTACATATTTATGCAAATATTTAGGTAAGATCAATTTCTCAAATTAAAATTATAAGGTCAAATATATTTTTATATTAATAAAATATATAATATATATTTTAAAGTTTGGTGGAAATGATCAAATTTCACCCCCTCCCCAGGATGTATGGATTTATAATCCCTCTAATATTGTATAAAAGTCCTGTTTCTCCCCAAATTTTTTGTTGAGAATGTAAATTATTATTTTTTATAATTTTGCCAATCTGATAGTGAAAATGACACTGTAGCTACGCTCTGTGTGTGTGTGTGTGTGTGTGTGCATATATATTTGGTGACATGAGATGTCTTCTCATTTTTATTGACATTTCTTCTATAAAGTATTTCTCCTATAAACTGCTCATTTATATTCTTTACCCCCTTGGAAAAAGCTCAGTTTTCTTTTTCTTACAGATAGGAACAACATGTATCTTGCATATAGATAATATTTCAAATTTATTTCAGCTCTTTCCCCCCATGTCTTCTCATTTTGCTCATTACCTCTCTGCCTACACATAAATGTTATATTTATGTCGTCAATTGTGTCCATTTTTTCTTTATTACTCTTGGATCCTACCGCGTGTCGGCAGGCCTTCCACGTGCAAAGAAAAGAAAAGGCCTTCGTACATTTTTCACACTATTATAGTTTTTTTAACATCCAAGAGTGCAATCTAATTCTGTTTTATTTCTGTGGAGGTGAGCTCGGAGCTTGTCGCACACTCGTGGGGGAAACGTTCTGTTCAGGCTCCCTTCGACCCCGTGGTGGAGACCCACGGCTGGGCTTCATTTCAGTTCCTGGGCGATGTTTTGGAGAGAATATCTACATTTGGACCTACAGTTGAAACGGAAAACGAGCGTAGTTTTTAAGATTTTTACTCCCTCTTAAGGAATAGTAACAGTGGACATTCCCCCTGAGCTCTGGCCCCGGCCGGGTCATTCTTGCGACCGAGCTCCGCACTTCTAGCAGCGCTTTCAGCCGCGCATGCGCATCGCTGTTCCTCGCCCTGCGCCTTGCATTTTCCTTCCCTTGCTCCTTCCAAGTGCCCCATCCCTTCTCGTTCTCTTATTCATTCCTTTCTTTCCTTTCTTTAACTATCACAGCATTTGCCATTTAAATGTTTTTTGAATGATTTCTCCTGGTTGTTTAATAGTATTTTACAGTTTCTATGCATTTTTTGTTTCAGAATAACTTTTTACTTACCTAACTGCGAATTTCCAATAGAGTTATACAAATGTATGCTAAATATTAGATTTGCGTATTTTGAGCATTTATAGCCAAGGCTCAGTTTGTATTTGTTTCTTTTCATCACAAAACAGTTTTAGAACTCACGAACACTTTTTTAGAAAGAGGAAAAAATCCACTTTTGTAATTATTTCGTATGTATTCTTTTCCCAATATTTATAATCATAGGATAAGTAGTTGTATTCCGCTCTTCCCTTTTGAGTATTTACACCTATTTCTACATGGTCTTCTCAGAGATATCACAGCAGAATGCACAGTAGAGGGGGCGGATGGGAGAACTCGGCTCCTTGTTAACTGACGGGTGATATGAAGACATTTCCTTGGCCTCAGTGTGTCTCTTTCATGGGGGTAACAAAACCCACCCCAGGTTGTTGTGGGAATTAAAATGTGATAAGAAAACACACACTCCTACGTGTCCTCCTTTAGCAGAGCACTTCAGCAGTGTTGGTTTGCCCTGTGTGTGTGTGTGTGTGTGTGTGTGTGTGTGTACGCACTCTCTGTGCTACTGTAAAAGAAGCAGAAAAGAAAGACACGTGGTTAAGCTGTCGGGGGTGGATTCCATCGGTCTTGCTTAAGTTCCTTTTGCAAAAGCTCAGAATCACAATAAGGAAACTAACCCCAAAGATGAGCCTCGCATGTAAAATCCTAGCCAGCTTCCTTCTGATTTTCATCCTTTCTGCCCAAGGTAAGTTGGTGTGTGGGTCTCCACAGGCACCGTGACAGGCTCCTTCGGAGACTCTGAAGTAACTGTACAGGCTAAGAGGTCACAGCCCGGCTTTCACTGGCGGTGAGTCTCAAGGCCTCAGTAACCATCCTCTTTTTACAGGGACAGATATCATTGAGGCCCAGGGTGCCCTGAACGAAAACATCACCCTGAACTTTCCCGACCAACAGCCTGGTATCGTGGATGACATCCAGTGGTTCAAAAACGGTACCAGGATTGCACGAGTCAAAGGAGGCAAAGTGCGTGACCAGCAAAAAGAATACCAAGTGTTAGCCAGTGGAATTCTGGCAATTAAACATCTGCAGAGAAGTGATCACACTGACTTCAAGATAATCATATATAACAAGGCTGGATTCGAAATATTTACCAGAACATTCAATGTGAAGATTCTAGGTAAGTCTTTGCTCCCTAAATTCCTCCATCTTAATATGGGTGCTATTTAGCAATTTGGGGGATAGCACTTATGGAATGTCCCCAGCCCGGACCTCAGCCCTGGGGGATCCCGAGAGGAAAACCAGCGCATCCCCCCTGCCTCAGGGAAGGCTCCCGTCCTGTGGGAGATGGAATCCACATGTGGAAGTACAGAGATGATACCACCTATCTTCCTAAAACTATCTCTTCTGTGGTTATGGGAATGTGGGGCTGAGTGGAGAACCTGGCTTAAGGTGCCATTAATCAGGAGGAGGGAACAGGTGTCGCCAAAGAAAAAGGTAGGCATTCCAGGGGGATGGTGAAGAGGCAAGCTAGGAGTGGAGCAGGGAAGGTGAGGCCCAGCGGAGAGCCGTGGGTCTTCCAACTAGAGAGAGAATTTCAAGCCGAGAGGCCCTGAAGAAGTAGTTGCATGGCAGGAAACGGCTGGAAATAATGAATTTAGGGGTGAAGAGACCTTTTTCTGGCCTGTTCCACATCGGAGAGGTCCAAGGCAGAAGATGATTTTGCTGACTTCTGTAGGCAATGGCAGGGTGTGGCTCCGTGCGTCTGAGCGTGGGCCGGGAGGCAGGAGTGCCTGCTGCAGAGGGGGGCAGGAGCCCAGCCAGGGAGCTGCTGCTGCTGCTGCATCCAAGTGAAGGAGACAGGGGCTGGTTTGTGATTCTTAACCCTGGTCGCATGTTAGCATCAACTGAGGTGCTATTGAAAGTTACCAGTGCCCAGGTTCCATCCCAGACCAATTAAGCCAAAACATTTTGGTGTGGGACCTGGGCATCAGCAGGGTCTAAAGGTCACCGGGTGATTCTGCTCAGCAGCGAAGGCTGGTACCCGCTGGCCTGGACTAAAGGGTGCCTGTAAAATGAGGAAGCGTGAGTGTCTGAAGTCATACGTGGAGAAAGCACAGGCAGGGTGGCATGGGTGTGGGACAGAGGGAAGAGAAAGTGGAATTGAAATGACATTGCAGCCGAAAGTTTAGGAGCTGCTTGAAAGGGGATGATAAGAAGTGAGAAGAGGAAGCTGCACTTGGCCTGGAGAGGCGGGCAGGAACCCCGGCACGAGCACAGGCCAGCAGCTCGGTGAGCGAAGAAACACTTTTGTGCTTCACACAGGAAATGCCATGAGGAGCAGAGCCTCCCGCCTTCTACCTAGGGTATCCCTCCAGCCCTGTTCATTCTCAGAATGCAGACCTGGCTGCCGCCCCTCTCCAATAATCCAGACACTGCCAGCTCCCTGCAGATGACAACTTTCTACTCCTCGGTCTTCCATCTTGAATGGAGAGCACATCCCAGAAAGGGGGTGGGGTGGAGAATGGAGGCAGAAGGGGCCTCTGCTTGTGACCCTGTGGGCCGTGGGAGCCCCGTCTGCGGACTCTTGCCCACAGGGGCTGAGCATCCTGCCTGGACCAGGAGCGGCACCTTCCGTCTCCCTCAGTAATTTATTATCAGAGCGGGAGCTGTGCCCACCTGCTGGGTGCCAAGCGCTTTGCTCACAAGATCTTAGTTACGGTCACCAACAATCCTGAGAGGTAGCTGTCGTTACTCCCTTCTCATCTCCAAGGAAACAGAAGTGACTTGTCCAAAGTCTCACAGTTTGACTGCTGCGAAGTCAGGCTCCAAACCTGGGGCTTCTTTTAGCAAAGAGGGTGACATTTCTTCTTTGCAAAAAGCTTTCACTGAGACACAGTTCATGCACCACAAAATCACCCATTTAAAGTGTATAATTCAGTGGTGTTTAGTACATTCAGAGTTGTGCAACCATCACCAAAACTTGAGAACATCTCAAGTACCTAAAAATAAACCCTGCACTCTGGGGCCAAAAGACAAAGCTCTTTCCATGACACAAGAGTCACCCCACTGTGGGGGTGTGTGTATCTCTCATAGCATCTTAACTCCGTTTGTAGTCTGGTTGCATTACTTGCCGCACGGCCCTTAGTAAATTCTCTGTCTGATCTGCATCTGATTTTCATAATATGGACTGTAGGAGGTACTCAGTGAGACAGGGCTTCGCCAGAGGCAACTGAGCAGAGGTGCCTTATGGTTCCCCGGGACCCAGTGCCTGCTGGCTTAGTGCCCTCCCCCATCTCCCTGTCCCTTCATGGTGCTGCCCCCAGCTACAGTCCTGGCCCCTGAAGGCCCTTAATGGGGGGCTGGTGCTGCTGGCTGAAGAGGCGGTGAGAACCCCTTCAAAGCAGGCGTTTGTGGGGCAAGGTTAATCCTTGCAACCGGGAACTGAGGAGTTCTTGCCTGTGAGATGGCCCTACTTGACCTGGCCTCCCTCTGCTAGGAAGCTATTTTATGGACGCCCACAAAGGTTTGGCTTCGAGAAACTGCTCATCATCGTGTGGTTTATGTGAGTGAAACACTGGAAAGGATTTAAAAGTCCCCAGCAGTTGGAAAGTTATTCATTAATTGAAGAATACATCATTTAAAAAGATAGTGGTGATGTTACTTCATATTTTTAAGGGAACGACTTTCATAAAAGATCAGTAAAGATTACAAAGTCATATGATTCAGCTTCACTTTTGAAAACATTCTTTTTCTATGTGTATATAACACAGAAAACACCTGCTAAAGATACACCCCGAAGCATTAATAATCGTTGACTCCAGGTAGTGCAATTGCAAGTGATTTTTAATCTTGAAACCTTTAAAATAAATTTTTACAAAGACTGAATGTGACTTTTATAAATACAAGAAAGAATACTTCCATTTTGAAAAGACAAGGAAATGCCTTGACTGAACCCGCAAATCGCACACGGCCCCTGTCGTAGGCACGGTGGTGTTTCTTCACCCCCTGGTCCCACAGAACCCAAAGGTGCAGAAAAACACTCAATTTCTGCACGCTTATATCTTGAGACAGAAATGGTATTTGGTGGGAACTTTGGTGCACAAGGTATTGTTGCCTGGGGGCCAGGGAGTCACGGGGAAATGAGCCGACTGTCTGCCTAGTGAATGGAGAGGAACTGGGTGGAAAAGGTGGTGAGTCTGGGGAAAGAAAGTATGAGAAAAAGAGCAGCAGACAGGAGGAGGTCCCACAGCTAGAAGTGGTGGCGTGGGATTTGCGCCTGGCCCGTGTGACGCCAAGGCTCGGCCACTTGCACGTTCTGGTGTCGGAAAAGCAGAAGCAAGAAATTTAGGTCATGAATGTAATCGACTACCACCACCGAGGTCAGTGCCTAACACTCTGCCCAGGGCTTTGTCACATGTTGTCTCGGTTACGACAGGTGCAGGGCTTGGCTTTCCATCCGCCTCCTATAGGTAAAGTCCGATGAGGCACAGTGAGTAGCCAAGAAACTTCGAGCAAGAACCCAGCCAATTTAACTTCTCAGAGCCTTGGACAATCCATTGCCAACAGGAAGAAGGACGTCAGCCTTTCTGCTTGCTGGGATTAAATGATATCATGTATGTGGAAACATTTAAAAATATAAAACAGCACTTAAACATCTGATACATTTTTTACTGATATAATGTATCTATCAAATTTATCATAAATTTGTTCTGAATGTGCTGTATAAGTATAATTAAAATGCCTTTCAAAAACTGCTAGGGTCTTTGAAATTGCCCCCGGTCTCAAATGAACTCTGTTTCTCCACCTGTAAATAGGCATGTCTATCCACCATATCGCAATCAGAAAGTTGCCTCGTAGGAATTGGATCTTTATTTTCTTTTCAGAAAGGGTTTCAAAACCTGAGATCTCCTGGAATTGTACCGACACAACCCTGACCTGTAAGGTAACAAACGGAACTGACCCTAAATTAGAACTGTATCGAGGTCAGAAGTATATCAAAGGCGGCCAGAAGGTCATCCAATACAAGTGGACCACCCAAAAAAATGCATCATTCAAGTGCACAGCAAATAACGCAGTCAGTGAGGAAACCAGCGTGGCGGAACTCTTGTGTCCAGGTACGTGACAGGCACTAGTCAGACATGCCAAGTTCACTTCACAAACACAGCCTGCCAGGCCCATGGTGGGGACCCGCTCCAGGGCCCGGGTGCCCAGGCCCAGAGGCAGCCTTGACTCAGGGTGGGAACTGGAAACATACCTCTTCCCCTTGGAAGCCTGTACGAGAAGACTTAGAGGTGAGAAGAGATGGCATTGATGGTTGCCCATCTCGGGCATCCCCCCCCACAAGAGCACAGTGTGGCTTCAGGCCATTACAAAGCTCTTTCTGGAGAAAGTGTTGCAAAGTTGAAGTCAGAAGGAGCTGTAGAGGGTACCTGATGCCAACCTCCACTTCCCAGAGAGACGGGCTCACTTGTCCAAGGTCCTTCGACCAGTCAGTAGCTACAATGGTGACTCCCAGGGTCATGATGGAGAGGAGAGCAAAAAAGATTCCTTTCTAGAAGTACGGTGGCCAGCACCTCCTATCAGAGACATGGAGTTAGGGGGCTGGGAGAAGAAGAGCGTGAGGCCAGGAAGGGCCACAGATATCGTGAGATGCCCCCCTGCCTTCGAGAAGACAGCTGGCGTCGGTGCCAGCACCAGGAAGTCCTGAGATTCTAGGAGTCTAAGCTCTTTCCTGGTGCCGCAGCCTGACGTCACCCAAAAGTTCTAAAGGCAGCTGCTGCGGTGCTCGGCTCCGAGAGCCCGGAGGCCCGGACTTCTGGTTCGGGTCTGAGTGTGGTGGGAGGGCCTTGACCGAGTTCCTGACCTTCTGGGCTTCGGCCTCTTGGTCCACAAAGAAAATAAGCCCTCGGGTCCCCAAGAGTCTACTCGTTTGAGGCCCCGTCATTCTCTCCCCAGTGCTGTCTGGTTACGACCCCTTGGGGAAACTGAGCACAAAACACAGCTATTCGGCCAGACGTCCTGAGTTTTTAAAGTGACTATGGCCGATCAGTGACCCTAGGAAGCAGCCCTGGGCTGCTGTGAAGTCAGAGTAAGTCTTTTTTATATATATATTCTTTGAATTGGTTCTTTGTTGCCACATAAAAAAATTGTCCCACGTTCTGTGGCTTGATCAACAAGTAATCATTATCTCACAGATTCTGTGAGTCACGAGTCTGACAGCGCCTGGGCGGTCCTGGCTCCGCGTCCTGTGTGAAGCTGCTCTGCGGACACTGGGAGTACGTCTGCCAATCATGGCCAGGCTCTGCGGGGGTCCACGTCCAAGCTCACTCACGTGGCCATTGGGCTGCTTCGCAATATGGCAGCCAGCATCCCTTTGAGCAGTCTCAGCAAGAACAGGAAAAAGGGCTCAGAACAAAAGCCATGAACATTTTATTACAACCTCAGGAGTGAGAGGCATCCCGGCACTTTTGCTGCATTCTAGCCAGTAGAAGCAACCAGTAAGTCCGGCCCATCCTCAGTCGGAGGGGATGATGCCAAGGCAGGAGTACCGGCGGGGGTGGGGAGCTTTGGGGCCATCCGAGAGTCCGCCCACCACACGCTTAGGCCAGCATCGTTCCATCCTGCGTGTCTGCTCGCCAGCACCGCCCCATCACGGCGGCTCAGTGAACGGAGGGGCCCCTCCCTGACTTCACGGCCCCTCTTCTCCCTTTAGGAGGCCCTTGATTAGTTGCCAGATTTAGCAAATAAAAGGACAGCATGAATATGTTCCAAATGTTGTATGGGACATACTTAAACTAAAAATTATTTATTGTTTGATTAAATTTTCACTGGGCACTTGTCTGACTACCTACCCCATTTTTTAAAAAAGCTAGATCTCATCAGCATAAAACTGTGTGTGCATCAGGGATGGAGGGAAGGCCTTGGGGACGCTGAGGTTCGACCAGTGGGACCTTCATGGCCCTTCCTCTGGGGTAGAGCAGGAGCCGACCCGGGGGGAGAGCCACACAGCGGTGGGAGGAAAACTTGAGAAGAACGCGGTCGGGAACCGGGGAGGAGGAGGCGGCTCCTGAAGGCCCTGGAAGGGGCCGGTCAGTGACCTTAGGAAGCAGCCCTGGGCTGGGGTGAAGTCCGAAGTAAGTCTTTTTCATATATATTCTTTGAATTAGCTATTTGTTGCTGCATAAAAAATTATCCCACATTCTGTGGCTTGATCACAGGTAATCATTATCTCACAGATCCCGTGAGTCACGAATCTGACAGCGACTGGGTGTTCGCTGGTGGTCACTTCCAGGCCCAGCAGCCCCCCGGCCCCGGGGACGCACGCAGCGCCCCGGAAACCCAGTGCACAGAGCCCTACCCAGGGCAGAACTTCTTCCCTTTGTGCGTTGTTTTACAGTTTACAAAGTACTTTCACATCCATTATCTGATTGGCTTCCAGCAGCCACCGGGGATGTGAGTGTCATTATCTCCATTTTACAAAGAAAGGAAGGGCTCAGAGAGGTGGAGCATCTTGCCAAAGGTCACGTACCATATTTTGCCGTGTACACTGCACGCTTTTGTGCCCACATTTTTGAGGGGAAAAAAAGATACACATTACAACATGGGTACTGATTCCGTATCTACATACATGTTTTTAATTTGTTATTTATGCTTGCATGTTAAAAGTGTAACTCTAGAACGTATCTGTATGTTTAAATATAAATGCTAAAATTCCTTTAGAATACAAAATACAAGGATCTAAATATAAATAGATTAAAAATCAAATTAAAAAATTAAAAGGTTTTTTTCCTGAAAGTTTGGCCAAAAATGTGGGTGCACATTATACACAGGAGCGAATTATACACAGCAAAATATGGCAGGTCTTGCCTAGAGGGGAACTCAGACCGCTTCCTTTAAACACCGAGTCATTGTTACCCTCCCTGCGTTACAGCACTGAAGGAGGTCTGGGAGCTGAAGATCAAATCCACTCCTGCTGCTGACTCAGTGTGTGTCAGAGCTTCTCTCGCCAGGAAGTCTGGGGGAGGAGGGTGCTGCTGTGTGGTCAGGTCAGGGCTGGGCTGGACCAGCCACGTTTACCCTTGGTCTTTGGATGCAGCCTTCTCCAGAGAACGGGGGTGGGGGAAGATGGTATAGGAGGGCAGCTGGGGAACAGTGCAGAAACCCTGAGGCGAGGTGCTGCTTACAGGAACCACTCAAGGAGATACTGTGTGGCCTCGGGCAGCTCCTCCTCCCTCTCTGTGCCTCATCTACAAAACCAAACATGGTCCCTCAACTCTTCAGAGCTAAACTGCTGTGACAGTCTCCTTTGCTGGGGGCCATGGACAGTGTCGTGCCCTGGCACATGAAGGATCTGGGGTTCTAGTCTGGGAGGCACCCCCTGAAGGAGCCTCTGGAGGGGGCTGGTCCTGGACCCTGGGCCCTTTCGGGGATCAACAATCCACCACCCTCCATGAGCTTGGCCTTCATGAGGTTGAAAAGTCCCATTCATTAAGCTCTGTTGTCTGTTTCACTCCGGACGCAGGAGCCCTGGGCCAGAGCAGTAATCACCCCTCTGCCCAGGACCCTCCCCTCCATCCCAACTCCATTTGTCTTGCAGAGAAAGGTCTGGACATCTACCTCATCATTGGCGTCTGTGGCGGAGGCATACTCCTCTTCCTCTTTGTGGCACTCCTCATTCTCTTTCACAAGAGGAGAAAAGTGCACAGAAGGAGACATGGTAAGCTCCTGCCTCCGTCCCACGGGGACCGGGCAAAATCCCCGTGGAAACAGCTCGGGGGCATGACACTTGAGTGGGGCAGGAAAGTGATGGAGACGGGTAGTTTCAGAATGGCAGGGTTGTAACCAGCGGTTACCGTTTGTTCCATTTTGTGGTTAGCTTGGGTTCTGAAAAACACATTCTCAGTGGTGACAAGGGGGGAGCTGTAAGAAGCCGAGCCCAGGCTGGCCCCGTTGGAGCCCACCACCCGAGGGCCACTACGTGCAAGGCGGTGTGGACGCAGTTTGAATGAGCCACACATTTCTACGTGGGTAGGAAGATGAGCCTCAAATCTCCGTGTCTGTGAACGAGCACCCTGTCCTCTCCCTTGGGAGAGGGAGGTGGCCACGCCCCTTGTTGTGAAGCCCGGTGTTTACACCTCCTTTGCCAATTCGCTGTTCAGAGGGGCATGTTAGGGCTCTGAGTGTTTCTTCCTCAAATCAGCCCTGTCAGATACCCACCAAGAAAAAAGAGACCGTGCTCATAAGTGGGGAGCTGGCGCAAGGAGCATCTGGGCCGCGAGAGGCAGTGAGTTCAGAGGCAGCCTTCTCCCCTTCCCTGCAGGGAATCTGCCCCAACCCCCCAGTGGACAGAGGCCTGAAGCCATGGATAGTACTGAACCCTATATATACTACGTTTTTCCTACAAATACATCCTGATAATGAAGTGTAATTTATAACTTTAGGCACAATAAGAGATGAACAATAACTGATCACAAGAGAGAAAAATTGTAACAATACACTGTCATTAGAGCTACGTGAATGGCTTTGGGGCCATTATTAAGTAAGTGAGCGTCCCTTGAACACAAGCCCTGTGATGCCTCCCCAGCTGAGATCTGATAATCAGGTGGCCACTCAGGGACTGATGGTGGGGAGCGGACACGCGTGAACACATCCGACAAAGGGATGGGTCACATCTGGGCAGGACACAGCAGATTTCATCGTGCTGTGCAGAACAGTGCAACTTAGAATGTATAAGTTGTTTATCTCTAGAATTTTCCATTTAATAGTTTTGCACTGCAGTTGACAGCAGGCAACTGAAACCACAGAAAGTGAGACCGTGGACAAGGGGGACAGTTCCAGTGGCACACCAGGTGTCTCCACAGGTGCCGGGATGGGGCTGCTGGGACCCCCGGCCGCAGGTGGGCCCAGCAGGGGGCATCGGCCACTGGCAGGACTTGCAGCCAGGTGGGCAGGCCCCTCAGGTTCTGTGTAGTCTCACCTTCACTGTAGGACTGGGTCCCCTCACTCTGGGTCTCTTCCTAGAACGGCCCCCCCCCAAGGAAAGACCTGGTCTGACACTCCAGGCAGGGTGGTCTTGGGCTGGCTACCTTCCGACTTGACTTCCTGCAGGCCTCTCTCCTCGGGTCCCCTTCAGACCACTGGCCCTCCACCCTAAGTCACCCTACCCCACTGCCCCAGGTGTCCACCTCCATCCTTCCCACACTCTTCACCCCAGTGGCACAGTCGCTTGCTGAGTCCCATGACGTCCTCACTTTGGTGCCTTGCTCGGCTGTTCTCTGCCCCCTTGTCCCCTGCAAAGGCCCCTTCTCTGTCACCTAATGATCAGAGATCACTTAGTCTCCCAAAGCAGACCTCACACGCCACCCTCAACAAGGCAGTCTGTGCTTCCCCCGGGGCCAAAATGGCCAACATGATGACCGCCTCACGGGGATGACATAGATGCACCGGTCTCTGCAGTACTGCTTCGTATTTGGTGTCTTAGCCAACCTTCCAAGTGATCTTAGGAAATGTAACAATCATACTGTTCATACCAATGAGGACATTTAAGCTCAGTGGGGTTCAACGATTTCCCCAAGTTCGACAGCCAGTAGGCTGAGTCAGGCCTAGGGCAAGGCCAGCAAGGAGGAGCTCACGGTGCAAACTTTAAAGAGACCCTCTCCCTCGACCCTGCTCTTGCCCAGCCTTGAGTGTGAGGGCCCAGGTGCTTTCCTGATTTCACCCTGGATCTGGCCCTGGCCCTGGCCCTGGCCCTGGCCCTGGGTTGAGTAACCAGGAGATGACATGCAGGAGGAGGACACGGAGGCTGGAGGAATTCCTGGGAGCAGACGTCGGGCAGGGACTGCTTGGGGGGTGTGGGTGCCCCGGGGTCCTGCTCTGACCAGATGGTCTGGCTATGGCTCAGCCCACTCTGTCCAAGCCAGCCAGAGGCCTCGGTCACTTGGCCACATCCCACCCTTCCTCCTCCTCTGGACTCATGGGGCTCTTGGTCTGCACCCCTCTGGGGACCCTGGGCTCTTACTGGAGACTGATGCTGTGATTTGCTGTCCTATTTACTTGACTTTAGGCTTCCCGAGGACAGTGTTGTGTCTGAGCCACCACTGCCACTTAGCAATGGCACCTAATGCCTGGTGGCAGGGGATAAATTTTTGAAGGACGAATGAACAGAACATTGATGAACAGACTGGTGAAGAAATGGCCAGGCCACGCCTGCCATGTAAAGGATGAAAACGAATCCCCATGGTCCCACAGCTCCAAGTGGGGTCGGAGGACAGCCCTCTGCCTGGTGGCCTCCTGAGCACGACCTGGGGCACCAAGGGTCGGCACGGAGGACGTATCTTTCCCTTTCCACGCCCTTTGGTTTGTGCGCCTACAGCACACTGGCCTCTCACACATCCAGACCACGTCGCTGCCTTAAGTCCTCACATGGAAGCTGCCTGAGGCCGATCTCCAGCACTGGGAAGAAGCCTTCGGGTGGGCGTCATCACCCCAAGTCACGGGGTCACGCTCAGTCTAGAGGGCCTGTGCTTGCTCAGCCCTGTAATGACGTGACCCCAGGGAGACCACCCCCTTCCTGCCTCTCTCGGGAGTGTGCTGGGAGGATGGCCTTGGGCACAGGGGCTGGAGCACCAAATGGGTGGCCCGAAGGGGGCTGGAGGGGCCACTGAGGTCTTCCAGACCTCTAGCAGCTGAGCGCCTCACACATTTTCCGTGTGGTTTTAAAACAGCATAGGAAAAACCACGAGTCGCAGGCCTGTCTTTGGGGATGACAGCCACACAGAGCGCGACCCCCAGAGGGGGCCCAGCGGAGGGATTCTTTCCCTCCGAATAAGAGGATGGGACTTCCTTCTGAATTGCTGAGAAACTAGTAAGTTTCTAAGGACTGAAGAACCCCTCGTGGGTTCTCCAACCCTCACCAGAACGCGGGTTGTGAAGGAGTCACACACCGGGTGAAAGGCAGACCTGACAGAGACAGCCACCTGAAGGAGGGCCACAGCTGATGTCCTCTGTCTGCTCAGAGCCACTAGGATGGCACAGAGGCAGGGCTGTGGGGTCTCAGTGCCCTCTCTGCTCCCAGGAGACCCAGGTGCAAAGGCTCCCGGCTGCCTACTTGCTTTTGGCCCCTGGAGTTCTTAAAGCCCCAGGCTCTCATTCCACCTGGCTGGTGGGAGCAGCTTCTGCTTCTGCATCAGGTCCCTGAAAGCGGCCAGCGCTCTGCCTTGTACACAGATGTACACTCAGTGAATAGCTGCAGTGATCATTTCTTGCCCAGATGAACTCTGTAGAGGTTTTATCGTTGCAGGTGAGGAACTGGAAATCAGAGCACACAGAGTGACCTCCGACGAAAGGGGCCAGAAGCCCCATCAAATTCCTGTTTCAGCTCCTCAAAATCCAGCCTCGTCCCAACCTCCTCCACCACCCGGTCACCGTGCCAAGGCACATGGTCATCGTCCCCTGCCTCCCGGCCACCGCGTCCAGCACCCTCACCAGAACCAGCAGCAGAAGAGGCCTCTTCCCACCCCTGGCACACAAGCTCGGCAGCAGAAAGCCCCTCCTCTCCCCAGGCCTCGAGTCCAACCGAAATCTCCCCGTGGGGCCTCAGAAAACTTGTAACTGTCTCCTGGCAGAGCCGTTCCCTTCCTCTGATTAAAAGAGATAAAAACCGTCCCTTCCCAGGAAGGCACCGTGGGAGTCCTGCACTCCGGGGCGGACGCCCGCATGTCCACCAGCTGTGTCCTACTCATCCCCTCCCCAGCCCGCGGGCCACCGCCACACCTGCACTCCTGTCTCGGCCACATGGTCTAACGTCTGGAGTCTCTGGCCTCCTCCCAAAGCCCCACTGCACCAGGACGGCAGAGACAATGCACGTGGAATTGTTAGGATGATGGGCGACTGAGCACAGAACCCTGGAGCGCCCTTCGCCTGCCCGTGCAGCGTGCGGTGTTCACTGTGCTGCGTCTTGCTACGAGCGGCCTGCCTGTTCGGGAGACTCTGGGGCTTCTCATGCACCGGGTGGACACTCGCCCGCCGTGTCGGGAGCAGGTGTGAAATAAAAGCTTTGCCTGGGTCCCAGTGTCTACTCACTGTGGAAAGGGGCCCAACGCGCAGCCGTGGCATAGAAGAGAGGCTGCTGCCGTGGCAGCCAGACCCAGTCTCGGCCCCCGCTCAGCGGGGCCCTGACCCTGCCAGAACAACCGGGACACGCTCCCCAGGTCTCAGCTGCAAAGCTGGCCTGACCACCTACTCGTAGGTCTGTATAATGAACGGAAACCTCTGTGCACAAACTTCTACAAGAGCGACCAGAAAACGTAACCCTTCGTCTCACTTCTTTGATCATTCAGACATGGTCACAGTGATCTGCAGCATCACCCTGGGAAACAAGGAGTCCGCGAGTACCAGTGGTGCCGTGAGCCTATCAGATGATGCACCAAAGGGCAGGCCAGGCCGACAGCTCTGGGGGCTTGGGCGGGTGGGGGGTGAGGGATGGAGCAAAAAGGAAAGAGGACTCGTGGATATGGACAACTGTGTGGTGACTGGGGGGAGGAGGGGTAAGGGGATACATGGCAGTGGGAAAAGTACAATAAAAAATAATTTTTTTAAAGCCCAGGCTAAGAGACAACTCGGTTGAATTAATCCCAAGTGTCTTCGATGACCCTTATTAAAAGGTCACACCCCAGCCCCAGTTAGAAGCATGCCAGCTATACTTTGGGGGAAGTGGGGAGAACAAAAGGATTTTCAGTTAAGGTTCTGAAAAATAAGTGGTGAGAAGGCACCTGCTTTGAAATGTCGGCGCCATGGCTGCGGGCCGTCCGCCGCCTTCTCCTGGGCCCTCACACTTGCTAAATCTTATCAGGCTCCGGCAGGAAGTTCTGAGGTCTCAACCACAAGGTATGTGTGTAGTTCAGGACTTCCTGTGAGAACTCAACGGGGGTTGAACTACTTATCCCTTAGCACCCACAGTTAATTAGTAAGGATGGTGACGAGTGAAACCCCGCAGCCCCCCAAAACTCATACATTAAATCCAGCCAAGTGTCAGTCACCCCAGGATCCACCTCGGAGGAGGGGTGAGGGCCTGCTCCCTGCCCCCTTCCCATTCCTCGTGGCAGCCCTGAGCCGTTCCATCAGCCGTCCTGCCAGAACGGCCTTGGCCCCCTTCCCTTCCCTTCACGAGCCACCCTTGGCCTTTCCAGCCTGGTGCTCCGCCTTTTTTCTGAAATCCTATGGCTTTACTTTTGATACAGTTCATGTATTGCCTGTAACTATTCAGCCTTATTATCATTCATTCATTGGACAAACATTTATTGAACTTCTCCTGCAACCCAGGCTCTGTGCTAGGTACTAGAAACTCAGAGGGGTGTGACTGTATCTCAGTTATCAGGACCTCACAGTCTAGTTGGGGGAGGGGTGGGCCAATTACAGGATAAATGCAGCGGTGTGATAGGTCAGTGGCCCGTACAGGCGGCCGGAGGGAAGATTTGGACTACAGATTGGGTGGTGGGGGGAACACAGAAGCCTTCCCGGAGGAAGTGGCACTTGAATTAAGTTGAAATAGATTAGTAGGTCTGGCGACGCAGAGTGTGAGTCACGCTGTAGAGGGAATGGCATGAACACAACCCAGGTCCGCTACCCGACTACACAAATATGTCGTCCCTTTCTCAACTACTCTGTGCCATCGATTTGAAGGTACTGTTGATTTTTAAGTAGCACCATTATTTTATGTACCATTAAAAGAAAAACTCTCAAGTGCATTATAACAAAGCTAGAACACAATCAACTTTTATGCACACCCCCATTTCTGAGACGTTAAAATATGAAGAGATGTACATCTTAGATTGAGGAAATGCATCGTTAATAAGCTTCTTGGGGGCAATGACCACAGCACTTTGTAGAAACAGCCCTAGGTAATTGATTCAAAGGGTGAGCACAGCCTCTATGAAGGAAAGGGAGGTGATTGCACACACTCCCTGCGCTGCCGCTGCCGGAGTCTTCACCGGGAGGCAGAGAGCATGGGCCTTGCTCGGGGCTCTGCTGCCTTCCCCCGCCTGTCGAACCCTGTGCCGCCTCCCCCGACCCTGCCCAGAGCGTGGACTTTCTGAGACCAGCTGGATAATAGCTGATGGAGCTCCTCTGATTTGGTGATTAGGTTGGGCCTCAGTATCTTTTTGAATGATTTTATTTATTTATTTTTTAGAGAGAGGGGACAGGAGAGAGAAAGAGATGGAAGGAAACATTGATGTGAGAGAGAAACACAGATCAGTTGCCTTCTGCACGCCCCCAGCCAGGGACCTGGCCCACAACCCAGGCCTTTGTCCTGACTGGGAATCCAACCAGTGACCCCTTGGTTCACAGGCTGGCGCTCAAGCTGCTGAGCCACATCAGCCAGGGCAAGCTGCTGTATTTTTAATAGCCTCTCTAGGTGATTCCGACAGGCATTCAAGGTGGGGAACCATGGGTCTACTGGTCCTCCAATGATTAATCATTACTGACTGGTCAAACTCGAAGACTTTGTAGATAGCATAGCACCATAAGAAAAACAGTGATGGCCCAGGTAACAAATCTCCAGTGGGAAATCACCAACACAAGGAAGTCAGCCATGTTGGAAAAAAGTATCCAGGGACTGGAACATCCTAGAGTGCAATATGAAGATAGAAAATTCTGGGTTTTTCGTTAGCCTTCCTGCCCTCCCTAAAGAGCCGTCTGAGCCTAGCAGCTGGAGACCTGGGCTGTGGTCCGACCATTCCCTCTCTGTCTTCTCTATGCTGTCTCTACGGGGCTCGTCTGGTTTGCCCACGGTCGCTGGTCTGCAGCCGCGTGGTTCCTCACGCTCCCCAGGTGCTCCCCTCAGGGCCACCGCCCACACTCTTCCCTTGTCCACATGCTTCCCTCAGAACTCAGGTTGAAGCTCTCTGAGTGGACTTTGCTGAATTCTGCTGTGACCTGAACCTTGTGAGGCCATCCATCTCATTTCTGTCCCATTCTGTGGTCATCTTGCTTGGAGTAGAAGGAGATCTGTAAATACGCCAGCCAGAAAGTTCTGAGTCTCTCTCACTGGCTTTGCAAGCTGGAGACACTTACTCAGCCTCTTTGAACAATTGGTTTCCACATGTGTAAAATGGGGATAACACCTCCCGGGGTTGGAGTGCAGATTAACTGGAAATGATGTACAAAATGTGAATCGTATGCCCTGGCGCACAGAAGACGTGGTAACTATGAGCTTGCCTTCTGGCTTGCTACCAGCGAAGAATGCCCTGCACAGCAGATGTAAAGGGCCCAATACCTGGGAAGAGACACAGCCCATTACAAATCCATAAATAAGCACTCTGCAAGGTGACCAGTGTGCTATGAGTTTGCTTTACCTTAGTTTTCTAACACCGGCCGCAAAGGACAAATGGATGATGCCCCATACCAGATTCATCAAAACCTAAACAACAGACCTGTGAAACCACCCCACAAAGCCTAGACTGAGCCACCAGCCTGTTGTCCCCACCCCGGCCACACAAGCAGGGCCACTCTGATAACACATCTGGCCACCACTCCGCTGGACAGCCTGGCGATTTATTCACAGCAATACAGAGCTGAGGAAGGTGGGATAAGGAAAATTCTGGTCTTTCTAATTATACCCTGCCAGTCCACATGGGCCTGCCTGCCAGCCAAGGCTGGTGTAGGAGAGGGGCTCGCAGCAAATGTTTGGGGTGGGCAGTCAACTTTCTTGGATTTGACCAAACAAACAGTCAGCCAGTCCTGGAGGCCCCAGCTGAACCGGCGCCGCAGAAGGGGATTTCTGGTGGAGAAGAACAGCTCAGCTCCTGTGAAAGCCTTTATTCCTTTCTGAAACCTCCCCCCACGAACTTCAAATTTAACAAAAATAAAAAACAAACCACAGGGACAAAGAAAACAGAAAAAAAAAACACCCCAGCACAATGTGAGAACTTGAAAAAGCAGAGTGAAAGGTGGTAACTAAGACAACTTGAAAAGTGGAATCGGTCTGCAGGCCGCATTGAAGAAAGCCATGGTGCAAACTGATTCACGATATTAAATCCTCTAAAGGCAAAGGTACTTCCAGAAGTGGGAACGACATGAGGCTAAAACAGAAAGACTGCTTGAAGATCTGCAGAAGATCCCCCGTTGGTGTGGCTCAGTTGGTTGGAGCACTGTCCAGTAACCAAAGCATTGTAACCGAAGTGTTGTGGGTTTGACCCCTGGTTAAGGCACCTATAGCAGGCAACTGAGTGTTGGTTCTATTTCACGTTAATGTTTTTCTCCCCCCCCCCCCTTTTTTTTTTGGTCTCCCTTCCTCTCTCTTACAAAAACAATGAAAAAATGTCCTCAGGTGAGGATTTAAGGAAATCTGCACAAGAAACAATTACCTCCTAGATTCTGTCCCCTATCCTATTCAGATCAGTCACTGCTTAGAGAGGCTTACGGGTTAATTCTTTGCACAAGGTAAAACAGAGGCCTCCTAGGGGGAGGGGGGACGATGCCACACATAGTAGATAGAAAGAGACTATGCTTTTTATTTTTATTTTTTAAATATTTTATTTATTTATTTTTCGAGAGAGGGGAAGGGAAGGAGAAAGAGTGGGAGAGAGAAATATCAATGTATGGTTGCCTCTCATGCGTCCCGTCCTGGGAACTGGCCTGCAACCCAGGCATGTGCCCTGACTGGGAATCGAACCGTGATACTCTGGTTCACAGGCCCGTGCTCAATCCACTGAGCTACGTCAGCCAGGGCGAGACTATGCTTTTTAAAAAGAGAAATTAAATAAATTTTTTTCTACTGAATGTTGGGACTGAGCTCCTACTCTGCCCAGCTTACAGAAAACAAAATATTCATGATATTTTTTTAGATAGCATATTAGGAAAGACTTATCAGCTTGAAAAATATCTGATCAGCTCAAGGAAAAAAAATCCTAATCACACTGAAGTTCAGGGTTTCCCAACAAAACCACCAAGCTGGTAGTAGGTCTGCAGGGAAGACCACAGTCAGTAATCCCCTCCTACCCGCACGCAGATTTCAGTCATGACGGTTTCCCTCTTAAAAATGAACAGTTGAGGATCTCCAAGGAAATGAGGAAGGCCCCTAACATGAAAGAAAGGGGCTCAAACAAATACACATAAACATCAGAGGCAAGGGAGGAGAACTTAAAAGGACACCACCCCTAAAGTGTTCAAGGGGTGAGAAAATACAGCACCCATGGGAGAAGAGCAGAGCACTGTGAAAAAGGCATATTTACAACAAACAGTGTTTTTGGTTCTGGTCAAGATAGAGGCGCAGGTAAACATAGCTCAACTCCTCACACAACCACATCAGTATTGCAACTAAACTACAGAACCGCCATCATTCAAACTGCCCCAGACCTGGCTGAGTGGAAGTCCTACGACTGTGGAATTAAAGAAGAAACCACATCGAGACTGCTAGGAGGGGCGGATTTGGAACAGGCTGCTCCTACTCCCATGTGTGGTAGGTAAAAATTAGGAGGGATATCTTGGGAGCACAAGGTCCCAGCCCCACAACAGGCCCCCCAGCCCAGGGTTCCAGTGCCAGGAAGATAAGTCTACAACTTCTGGATGTAAAAACCAGCAG